TTGTTGAATCTTTTGCTAACCTTCTTTGATCAGCCACAAATAAAGTGGGGTGAGTGATTTTTATGCTTTAGTGAACACTAAACTCTGATCTAGTAAAGTAGAAGAACCAATGTCACAATGCAAAAATACTTCATTGTAATTAAAAGGCCTGCATATAACAATAATTATGGCTCTGTTCCAGTTAGTGTCCCAGAAAGCCAGCATGTACTTTAGTGAACCACCCTGGAGCAAGTTCACCTAAATGGAGCACAGCAATCATTTATGTTAGTAGTTATGCCTGTGCAGTTCCTGCTTTGACATGTCAACATGTCTACTGTGAAAAATGTCTATAGAGTGTCTTTTATGAGCTCATGTTTTTTTTTTTTTTTTTTTAATCTATAGGTGTGTTTGACTTCATGCGGCACTTAAACACTGACTTAACGTGATGCAAGCTGGACTTTTATTTGCAGGAGCAAGGCGGCTGCAATTTTCTGAGCCTGATGCCTGCATTGCTTTTCTCCAGCTGCACCAAGTGGGAACTACCTTTTGCCATGAGATTAGCCATTGTTCTAAGCTCACGCACTTTAAGTGTCCGACTTGAAGGCTGTCGTCAGCTCACGTTTGATCAAGTCAGTGATGGTCAGCCACTGTCATCTTAAACGCACCTATTGTGTAATTCCTGTCCACCTGCTCCAAACAAATTGGGGGCGGTATTGTGCAAGAACTGCATGATTTTCTAACTGCTGCGCCAACACTGCTCCAGATTGTGTACAGTTAGACACGTGTAATAAACCTTGTGAAGTCCTCAAAAATGTATCGCAAACTACTGTATCCATACAATCATCAGTTATAAAAGAAAAAGAAAATTTCTAACTAACATCAGGGCAAGAATACGCAAAATTTTACCAAACTGCTGAAAGCCTGAGAGCCAGTCAACATGACACTGCACTCTTCACATGTGCTGTTGGCCTTTAGTTTATGTTATTTAGTTAGCTTGTTTAGTTCAGTTTTAGCAAGACCATAGCAAGAAAAGGGCCACATCAAAACCCTATATTGACACCATTTTTATTGTTTTTCAGTAAGGTTGGTGATGTCATTAGGTGCACTAAAGAGACGTTTCTCTAAATATAATATATATAATATAAATCTAATGGGTGAGTTCTAAGTTGTCTTAAAAGTTTTAATCATAATCAATGTTATTTCTAACATAGCCTAAATAAAACAGATCTGCAATATGTCCCTCCCGCCCAGAAAATAATGGAGTTAGAAGTGCCTTTCTCCTCAATAGTGTTAAAAGTAAAACCAGCAAATGTCCAAACAATGGAGAAGCATATCGACCAACTGACCAGAAGTTGTCAGTCCGTATGTAAGTGTCATTTGGACAGACTGGCCTTTCATCTGACTATTTTGCCTGATCTAGTACAAAGATGATTCATTTCATAACAACATGTGAAACAATTCTATAAATAAATACATCCCACAATTTAGAGTCGTTGTCTGATGCGCAAACAGCTCCAATCAGCAGGTGTTCCTCACATATTGGTGATCTAGGCTTACTTAAAGCCAATGATTCAGGTTGGTTAGGGGGGTGCCGTGGATGAGGTGGAGTTTAGGAGTCTGACAGCCTGAGGAAAGAAGCTGCTCTGTAGTCTGGAGGTTTAGTAAAGCTACAAAAGCTTTATTTAAGCTTTAAGGCTGACAGGACTGCTAGCTGCACGGCTAACTGAGCTAACTAGTTAATGGCAGCAACAGTTAGCAACAGTTAGCTTTTAGTAAAGCTATTTGTCCACCTCCAAAGGTGTTCTGAGCAATGAGATCTCAATGGGTCTTCAGTGTGTCTTGATGCATTCACTAGGGGAGGATCCAAGCTGGCTGGGATTATGTATTTTATGTGTTGGAGAACCAGTTTCTCGAAGCACATCATCAGAATGGGGATGAGTGCCACAGGGTAGCAATCATTCAGACCCTAGACGCGGCAAAAGGTACAGGGACTATGCTGTCTGTCTTGAAGCAGATGTGAACCATCGACTGTGACAGTGCGATATTGAAAATTTCAGTAATAACATCAGCTAGCTGATTGGCACACATTTTTATTACATGGCCAGGGATGTATCAAATTCACTCTCAGCAGGACTCTTCTCACATCTGCTGTGCATACTGACAGTGGCCGGTCCTCTGGAGGTGGAGTAGACTTTACAGCTGACTCTGTTGAGGAAATCAAAGTGAACATAAAATGTGTTTAGCTCTTCTGATAAGGTGGTCTCACACATGATGGTTTTGTAGCCTGTGATGTTTTTGATTGCTCGCTCTAGCGGTGCTGTATGCTTCTTTGTCACATGGCCAAAACAAAGCTTTTTTGTCCCTGGATAGAGCCCTCCTCTCCATTCATCCAGGCTTTCTGGATGGGGAATGATTTTATTGTCTTTTTGATCACCATATCATCAACACATTTGGTGTATAATGTCACTGTTTATGTACAGTATATTCCTCAAGGTTCTCCAGGATCTGTGCAGTCAAAACAGTACGGAGTAAGTGGGCAGGAGAAACAGGGAAATTGGGGGTGGAGGAGGGCTTTGTAGCTGCCAGTTATCTATTTTTAATAAACTGTTCTGTACTCAAAATTTACAAAGTATAATATTATAATTATTTAATTATTTTAACTATACATGTGATTAAATGGAGATACTCAAGTAAAGTACACGTACCTCATATTTGTACTTAAGTACAGTACAGTAAATGTAATTAGTTAAATTCCACCATTGGTGTCCATAATGTTAAAATAATATATACTGTGGTCAGCAGACAGCAATGGAATACATTATGGTATGACTTACTATATACAGTAGATTTAACTGCTCTGATGTAAATGTCTGTGTGCATCCTGTGTTCACTAGTTTTTTCGGAAGTCTCCTGTTCTGTAAATTTTGTCTGCCCATGAAACCTTGTTTGGGATGCTGTATAGGCTATATTGATTTGGAGCACTGTGTATCACATAGTATTTAAGCTAATAAATAGGCTACTTGTGCCTCTTAGAGAAGAATTTTCTGAAAAAAAGCCATTCTAATGTTCTCTCCCACAATATTAATGTTGATCGATCTATTTTAAGGACACACGTGTGTGGGCATATGATGCTGTAGTGCATTTGAGAAGGCATGACCAATGCCTTCACTGACCAACAGGGTATTTAAGGTATTCACACCTCTTCCAGCACTTGTTTGATTAGCCAGTGACCTCTGCTGGCTAGTCAGGGTATTGATCAAGACTCTCTCATTAGGAACACTTGTGATGAATTGTATCATCCACAATCACTTTTCCCTTTCTATTACAGCCCAGGGGCATCATGTATAACAGACTGTGCAGCTTTCATAATGAAAGATGGTGTACTCACAGAAGTACGTATGCACAGAAGTATCCACATACGACGCAAAACGACGGTGTGGCAGAGTGTCAGTGAAGTGAGGAGGCTCACAGACTCATAATGGCTGAACTAAAGAAAACATGGTCTGACAATGTGGATGTTAAAAAAAATACAGGAAACGTTTTTCTAATACAGAAATCGAGGTGCTTGTGAGGTGTAAGTTAGAAAGTACATATTGGTTGATGCAGTTAAATTGTTCACAAACAAAAGAAGACTCAGAGAGTTTAATAGAATTAGGTCTATATTATTCTAAACAAAGACTTGAAAATGTAAACACTACACTATAAACACGAATAAGTTCAGAATACTCAAAATATTTGTGGAAACTGATTACCTCAAACTTTTTAAGTAGTGGTAATAATATTTTTGAGTAAATCTTAACATAAATATAATACATTTTTTTAAAACTTTATGTTCTGCATACTAAACTACATTGATTCACTGATGCTTATTAAAATTCCACTTATTCTTTACTCAATAAATGTAATTGTGCACAACTTATACTCTGAGGGAAATCTACTGACAAAAAGTAATTGTGTGAGACTCAAATACTAATGGGAACTCACTCAACAAAATTACTACTAACCTTAAAATTTACAAAATGCCTATTTTCAGATATTCAATTCAATTTTATTTATATAGCGCCAAATCACAACAGTTATCTCACAGCGCTTTTCATAAAAGAGCAGGTCTAGACCGTACTCTGTGATGCTATTTACAGAAGCCCAACAGTTCCCACCAAGAGCAGCACTAGGCGACAGAGGCAAGGAAAAACTTCCTTTTAAGAGGCAGAAACCTCGAGCAGAACCATGGCTCAGGGTGGGCGGCCATCTGCCTCGACCGGTTGGGGAGGGAGAGGGAGAGAGAGAGAGAGAGAGAGAGATGCCTCAACCGGTTGGGGTGTGAGAGAGAGAGAGAGAGAGAGAGAGAGAGAGTAGATAGTAGCCCTCAAAAATACAAATAAAGCTCCATTATTACAATTGAAGTTCTCTTTATTAGTATAAAAACCTTAAACATCTTCTGTCATTTCTACATTTAATAGACAGAAAAAAGGCAAATCTTGCATAACGCTGACTAGACAAAGTAATTGACCGGATCAGATAAAACCAGCAACAATTTTGATAATCAATTTGTTGTCATTCTTTTTTGCAATAATGTTGAACATTCTCTATTTCCAGATTCTTAATGAGATTTTTTTGTGTTAAGTGATAATAACTTGAATCCTGAGCTAAAGAAAATTTCCTTTTACTACTTACTTTACTGTGTTTTGTGGAAAAAGCGACTAAGCATAATTTTATTCCATGAGTAGCACTTTTACTTAAATAATATAAAAGGGAGCTTTAAATGTGGAACTGGGGTGCCCCCCCTGGCAAGGAGCATATGCATAAAATGCTATCTACTGTTTATATTATGTAACCCCCTGGTTTGAGTTAAAAGGTGAATTGCAGCATACAAGCATTCGCATATTAGGCTCTGTCACTTTAAGAGGGTAACCTCTGACCCTGAGCTGTGACAGACTGTGTTTATTTCAGGAGAGGCCTCCGATTCGTCCATGTAGATGGCAATCACGTTTCTAAACTTGTGACTGGTTAAGGGGCGGAGCAGAGAGCAGTAGACCGGTGTTGTGCCGAATGTGTGCGTTTTTTGTGGAGGCAGCAACAAGCTGCAGAAGAAAGAAAAGTCTAATTTAATTAATGTACAGAGACAGTTAGTAGCCTGGCTAGTTTATAATAAGTTTGTCACACTGCTACACAGTTTTGTGTGTTGTACTGTGTGTAGCTAATGGTCTGCAGATAGCAACAGGTTAGCACCATCGCTAACAGCAAGCTAACGTGGTGCGAACACTGTGTGTGACCGGCTGTTAACGGTATGCTTCGAGGGAGACAGTCCTGTGCCTGTTTTCACCTTCACCTTTCTGAGAGGATTGCATAACATGAGAACAGCGGGAGTCATCTGGAGGATGCTGTGAAACTGGGCTCAATGTTACTTGCGCCCAACAGGCGCCCCAGTTAGCAGCACAACAAACACTGCGGGGACGCGCCGAGTCAGCGGGCTGTCTGAAAAACTTCAGTCACCCAGAGGAAAAACCGCCGGACCGCCTTTCTCCTCACATGAGGCCTCAGCTCTGGTGAGTGAACGCTTCTTTTATCATCCTGAGTCTGCTGCTGGTCCCTGCATGGGCAAATTGTTGTGCTGGATCGGTTGAGACTAGGCAGGGATTACTGTTGTTGTCATATAGCCACTTTCATACTGCCTTATTATTCGGGATTATTAGGCCAGTTTGCTGGCACGCTGCCCTGTATGAAAGGTACGGAGCTGGGCGTGTCATTGACTTCATTGGTGTTGAGCGTACTGCTCTTTGTTTATGGCCTTGTACGCTCATTTATTCTGTGCTTGGTTGTGTCTGCTTAAATGTTGCATTCTTAATCTAGGTTTGTGACAGTGGTAATGTAACTTGTGTCAATGCACTCCTCTCGCTCTCTCTCCTGTTAAGTGCTTTGTTGACATGTTAAAAAACACAGAAGCAAGAGAGATTATTGTAGTTTTACTGGTATTTATGTCAAATCGGTTGTTAAAAAGTGGGATATTTCACACCAAACTTGGTATGTTAACAAATAATTACACAACTCTATACAGACACATATGTATATTTATATTTTAATTTAATGAAAAATATTTATGCTCCATGATGTCTGTAATATTGAGTAGGATTGTTCCTGGTAAATGTTTTGTTCCTCCCCATCACTGCACTCCTACAAATAAAAGCTGTACTTGTCTTTTTAAGGAAAAGGTTAACTTGCCTGTTTAAAGAACAATTAATTGCCTAACACATACAGATAACACACAACAGGATTTTTATGGAATGTTAACTGAACTGGTTTTAGTCTATGGACATTAGACAATTTTAAGTCTGATCATTCCTTAACTCATATTTTTATGTAGTATTCAACAAGTTTATATACTGCATAATAGCATTCCTGAAATTCAGTTATGGCTTTTGGTTTAGTGTGCCACCCCAGGATTTTCAGTGTCCCCATCTGGCCACCCCTGGGGAAATTTTCTGTGGGCACCTGGTCAAATTTTAAGACTTTTTAAGACCATTATGAATGAAATTTAAGACCTATATCACGACTTAAAAAAAAGAAAAGCACAAAGGAAATGCAGTCACAAAATTACTTGCAGAGTAAATCCGTGTCTTTTCAGTGACTTTGTAAAATATAAGCTACTGCTGATGGATAAACTCAGGGGAGCAGACAGAGAGAAGCAGGGAAAGCCGGTGTGTTTGCAGTGAGAGACCAGAGGTAAAGGTGTGTGTGAGTGAGTGCAGGGAGAAGTCGAGTCAGGCGCAAAACAGGTACATTTACAAATAATAGAAATAATGTCCATGTGGATTAAAATTTGCTTTCACAGGGCGGTATAATGTAAAAAATTAAGATGGTTTGTGTGGGGATTGGGGGTCCTCCCCCAAGAAAATTATGTTTTCCAATAAAGAAATATTCAATTCCACATAATTTTGTAACATTGGTATTACCACATGTGTGAATAAGTAGGAAAATCTAGAGCAGATTTGGAATAAACTACACCTCAAAAGCTAAACTTGCGAAATAAGTCTACTGGGGTTGAATTCTAATCATTAGATCTGGGAAAATTCATTTGGTTAGTTTTGATGCTCTCCACAGTGATTTTACATTCATTGCGCAGCACCAAGTTGTTTTGAGCCTCACCACCAAAACACATGACCTCAGAATCAGTACAGATAGGATTATTCATGTTTACCTTTTGTGTCTTAATTTACTGCTTTATACATTTGTAGAAATTAACATAAATAATAGGCAACATGAAAACCACCTCCCTTCTGTATTATTACAAACATTTCATTTGTACATCAAAATCCAAAAGAATAATCTCCTCATTAGCTTAAAAGGACTAACGTTAGTTTGCATCCCTAATTTGCTTTAACGTTACTAACCTCAGCTCCTCTGTGGTCAACACCGTCCTTTCTTTTAATTTAATTATCAAGATGTACAGTAGAGAACAGAGTAACCTGTAACCGACAACTTAATGCTGATTTTATCCTCCTCTTTCACCGTCACTTTCTGCCGCTCTCTCCCTCACATTCGCTCGCCATTTGAAGAACGAGGAGCGAGGAACGTTTTTCCCAAAGTTGAACATTTTTCAACTCTCGGCGACCGGAAAAAAAAACACTCAGCTCCGTCCTGAACAGATTGAACATCCATATTTGGGTCACACATAGCGACTTGTCAATCACAAGGTAGCTCCGCCCTAAAGCCTCCCCTGCTTTCTGGTCTATTTTACTCTAAATGGGACCATAATTTACTAAATAATCATCATGCTGTGTTGAAGAACTGAGACCATAAACTCATTAGGAAAGTGTTTACTGAGGTAATAAATCAGCTGAGAAGTAGCCACATTTTCTCACTTCTATACGATCCAATGGAGTGGCCCCAGTGCTGGCTTTTAGAGAGAATGCAGGTTTGAGGCTTCACTTTTCAAACCTGGAGGTTCCTGCTTGGTGAAGACACAAAGGTGCTTCCTGGTTTCACAAATCAGACACATTAAATATCAAATTTTCCATTGTAGTTTTGAAACGGACTAATCAAAGAATGAGATGCAGATTCAGGTTGTCCTCACACAGAGGAGCAGGTGGAGGTGGGGCTATGTCCCAAGGCGCTGCTGGAGATGCTCTCCTTCTCGTTGTTGGTGGACGGAGCCACTCCTTTCCGGGAGCGAGACAAGGAGGCCCGAGCCTTATCGCGAGTACTCCTCCGCCCGGGCGAACAGCTCGCTGAACCTGCAGGAGGAGGAAGTGATATCATCAGCCGCCGCAGTGATGTCACGTGTCAGTGTGTGTGAGTACGTACCTCATCTTGTGGACCTCGTCACAGCTGGCCTGAACGGCCAGTTCAGAAGTGCTTTCAGGAGTTTGTACATGAGTTACATTAACATTTACATTTAGCTTTTATTCAAAGCTACTTACAATTGCTATATATGTCAGAGTTGCACGCCCCTGGAGCAGCTAGGGGTAAAGTGTCCTGCTCAGGGACATACTGGTGGACGTGTCACAATGGAGACCCGGGTCTCTCACACCAAAGGCATGTGTCTTATCCACTTGTCCATCTCCACCCCCAGAGAAACAGACAAATCCATCCACAGCCACCGTTCACTTTGGCTGAAGCGGACTACACCAGGAGCGTCAGTGTCAGTGACCACATGAGGAGTGTCAGCAATGTGTGGTTCATCTTTGCACTGCAAAATACAAACAATCCAATTATGAGGATAATTATAAAAGAAAGCTAGCACTGCATGCTCATCTGTGCCCCGCTTACACTCAAAGGCATATTTTTTATATTTTCCAAGCCTGTCTTGATACAATACCAACATGCCAAAATGTTAAGTTACTGGTGGCAGTTAAGATTATTTCTGTCTATACTGACTCTACAACGCTTTCTTAATCTGACTCAACTGTAAGAGAATGAGGATAAAATTCTAACTCTAATATAAATACACACAGAATCAAAGCGCAGGTCTTGCTAGGTTTGGGAAACATTTTTTCATGAAAAGAGAAGAATGGATTTGTCCCTAATTTCTAATAATTTGGCCATGCCTATGAAGGGGATGCTAATAGCCAGCAACAACATTTTCACTGTACACATCATATTTTAGCATTGTTTTGAGATAGACTACAAAAAAACACAAACCTATCCTTTCATCTCTTTGAACCTGTCAGTTGTTGGAAGAGGTATTTGAGTTTTCCATAGTACATTTCTTTACATTACATTTACATTTCATATTACTTGTTGATTTTGACATTTCTCTGAGTACACCGAGTACTTACATCGCAGGTTTTGAAGAAGTCAGTCATCCGCTAGCAGGTTCACTGGGAGGCCACGGAGGGTCGGATGGCATCTCATGTGTACCTTTTGTTGTTCCTAGATTGACAATCAAAATAATTATTACACAAATATTTTTACAGCCCATCAAGCCATAAAGTGTAACAGTTCTACCAATGTAATTATAAAATAATATTGATAGCAATAACAAATCCATCCAGCTGCAACTACTAAGTCAAGTCAAATTTAAACAAACACAGTGTCTCAAACAATGGGTGAGAAATAGAAGCTAACTATAACCTTAAACATGACAATAGAAGAGATTTGGAAGCCTGTGTAGTAGGGCTGGACCCAAATATTCGACTATTCCTTCACTGGGTTGTTGTTCACTTTTCAATTTTGGGATGTGGAGATTTGCACAAGCACCTACAGTTCTGTCCCGCACAACGCTGCACACACACCAGCTTTCACCGCCCTTTTCAGTTTCTTTCTTGCTGTATTATGCAGCGACAGACACATACAGGCTGCTATCTGTCCGCTTTCAACTTTCATTGTCAGCTATATGTTTTACTGCCCAATAAACACAGATAGCGTTTGAACTTTCTCACCCATGATTCTGTGGTAACAACCGCAGGTGAGCTTGTGGAGAAGGCCTATAGTGCATCTCTCTGTTTGTGTCTCTGAAACTGTCAGTAGACCGTATGGCGACCGATCATGGATTGAGTTGGTCTCTTGGACGGATAGAAAAATAAAAAGTCATGATCATGATGATGAGGGAAATGGAGGATTTTCTGTCTTGGGTTATGTGTTCAGGGCAGCCCAAGAATTTAAAAATAAGCTTGTAAATGGCTTTTAAAGTGATCATGTACTGGAAAACTTACAAAAATAAATGCAAGTGACAATTGAAAGTCGATGGCTCTGTCCTCCTAGTCATCACAAGACAATATCATAATCAAATTACACTATTATAGTACAGAGGTCCCAATCTGTATTGACTGACCATTATGTAATCAACATTGTTGCTATAGAGAGCCTATGTCACTCACTTCCGCTTCCGGCTCATGGGACCTTATTTCGGAAAAAATATGTATGGTAGTCAATGGCGAGAGACAACTTATCTTTTTATTCCGTCTGAACTGTGCCCTGAATTACACACATGATGTTTGTCAATTTAATTTTGAAAGTCGCAGTTTGTCATAAAAAAAGAAGATTGAACAGCCCCGTTACTCAAAAACAAGAGCAAGATGTGCTGTCAGCAGGTGAAGTGGTAAGACAGAAGACAACAGGGAAAATATAAGCAGCGCTTAGATTTGGCTAACGTTAGCTGGCTATTTAACTACATCTGTGCCTTTTTGTATTGAAACACATTCAACTTTTCATAAAGCCGATGCGCTCTTCAGTGTCACTTTTCGTGAACAGCTCAATCACAGCCTGAATGGAGCAGGACATTAAAAAAAGTTTGATGTGCTACAGCAAACTTTTTAAATGCTGACCTCATTGTTCTGCATAAATAGTATTTAGTAGTAAAGTTTCAGATTGCAACCAACAGTACACCCTTTACATATTTATGCCTGAAAGTAAGTTACAACTATGTCAGGTAGTTATCGACTGGTCGGTGTTTGCTGGCAAGCTAACATTATCTAGGTTGAACCATCTAAAGCACAAATCACACTGTTTCACATGTTTTGCGGTAATGTTGCTAATATAAACGTCGTAGCCGATGGATTTTCGCAGGAAATCCGACCAGTCCTTCACATAGGAAACGGTAGGCCTAAACAGGCTGTTATAGGCAACTGAGAAAGTTGGTGAATGCCTCAGTTTTTAGGTGAGATTACAGCCTGGTCACATATAGGCAATAAAAATGTTACATATGTTTAAATTCCTTGTAAAAATTCCATAATTCCCCTTTGAAAGGTGTGAGGCTGACTTAACCGGTTACAGCTCAAAGTGGCGCGAAAGTCTTAAAATATGTTGAAAAGGTCTTGAAAAAGGTCTTAAAAGGTATTGAATTTGACTTTTTTTGTATATGCCCTGATGTGGTAATAGCAATGTTCCAAAATTATGTGGAATTGCATATTTCTTAATTGGAAAAGTTTCACATTTTACACCCTGCAAAAGCATGTTTTAATCCCCACGGACATTATTTTTATTATTTCTAAATGTACCTGCTTTGCGCCTGCCTTGACTTCTCCCTGCACTCACTCACACACACCTTTACCTCTGGTCTCTCACGACAAACACACCGGCTTTCCCTGCCTCTCTCTATCCCTGTCTGCTCCCCTGAGTTTCTCCATCAGCAGTAGGTTATGTTTTATAAAGTTGCAGAAAAGACACAGAACTCATAATTTTTCTGGATATTTCCACCCGTGATCCTTCTTCACGGCAGCAGGTGCGCCGCTAGGGCTGTACATAACAATTATTTTTCAAGTCGCTTAATCTAACGATTATTTTTTCGATTAATCTAACGACTAATTTTGTTTATTCTAAAGAAAGAAAAGTTGCCTATTACTCGATTAACATCCAATTTATCCAAAATAAATATCAAAAACATGTCTAATCAATAAATCTATATTTTATTCAATCATCCTGATGAAGCACATTAGAATAATGACAATAGTACCAAATCTTAAAATGAATCAAATTTCTACGTCACTGCTGTGTTGTGATAATAACAATAACAGACATTAATTAGGCTACTTTACTTAAAACTTTAAATGTTTCTGACATGGATTCATTTCAATATTGAGTAATGCAGTATGATAATAAAATGTATTTCTGCATCAGTGAACACCTGAAAAGACTCACAGTCACAGATCGTCTGTACTGTTAGTTTCAGCTGTTTTCTCGCTCATACGTGGTCGTTAAATAAACAGAAAACATGAAACGGCCGAACATTAGATGACGCGGTGTAACGTTACGTTACCATGACAGCAGCGGGACAGAAATTACGGATTAACGGATTACGTGTCCTCATGCTGATAATGTGCCGCGCTTGTGTGGCGACAGAAAGTGAACACGATTTTTCGGTGCTGCCGTCTAGACAAAATGCTCCGGGATATTTTCGTTTCACGTGTTTGTGCTGCTTCACATATTCATGGACAGCAGTTTTGCTGCAGTGAAGCTGTTTCCAGTTCAGAGAGCTCACAGAGCAGCACGTTGTTGAGTGTCTGTCTGAAATACTCCAAACTGTACACGGTTGAAGGAGCGGTCTTGTAGCTGGAGCTTGTCTGGGAGAATCCCACACCGGATGCAGCGATGCGTCGCATTACGTGCCTCGACGAATTGCCCCAGCCCTATGCGCTGCATACCAGCTTGTTAATTACGTAGCCGGTGTATGTCATTGTCCATCCCAGTGATTCATTGTTGACATCGTCCAATGCCAGAGTGTGAGTGTGTTCTCTAAATTAAATGGAGTAGAGTACAGTAAAATATGTAGTTGGATTAATTTCATGTAGCCTTGTTATTATCCAGCGCTATGGTTTGGCTTTTCCGGTTACATTGGCGAGACAGTCAGCTGATCAGTAACGTTAATTGGCAATACAAGGTAATGTTAACTTAGAGCATGGAAGCAACAGCCAGCTAAACTTTTACTGCCTGTTAGAAAAAATATGTAGTTGGATTAATTTCATTTAGTGACTCTCTCTCTCCAGCGCTCTGTATTGGCTTTGTCAGTTATGTTCGTGAGAAAATCAGCTGATCACTAACTGGCAATAAAACGGCAGCTTCCAGCATGAATGCTGAGATCAGCCAGCTAAACGTTAACTGCGCTGGTAGAAACAATTTAATTGGATTGTAATTTAATGTAGTTATTCTTCAGCGCTCTGTTATGGCTTTGCTATATGGACAGAAAGGTGCCCTTACCTTCCTGAGACAAACAGCTGATGAATATTATTGTCAATAAAACAGTAACAACATGGAAGCTCAGATCAGCAGCTAAAGTTCTGTTGAATACTGCCCTGGTGGAAAACATGTATTTATTTTACTGCTAATAGTGACGCATAACATGACCGTGTGCCAATAAAGTGACCGATAATGAATACTTTCCGAATTTGCATTAAAAAAATTTTTTTTTGGATGGTGCTTTGCTACTGTGCACACAAATGTGTAATTTGTACTTGCATGTTGCACAATGTGTGCAATGTTGCACATGTTGAAATTATGGTTGTCGGTACTACTTTGTGTTTCTGTTGTATTTTAAAAAATTTAAAAAAGACATTTTAATTAATTAAACAAAGTGAGAGGAGCCTTGATCCTCACCTGACAATGCCTTTGTAAACTTAATGTAATATGTGGTTTATAGTGGACTGTGGTGCAGAAACAGTGAGGCTTTTCCGGATATCTGTCAGTGGTCATAGGTGGTTAGTCCAGAACCCTCCCAATTTGTAAAATACTGTATTGCAGGAGCATGAGACATCATGTAGCACTTCATTATTTAATGTGGCTGTTAATAATATTCACAAAAACGTGGTTTTACTGGATAATCAAGTAAATATCATGTCTTAATATATCAATGTAAAGAAACCTGATTTCTTGACTGGCAACTCTCTGCTATCTCATAGATGACATCTTTTTTCCTGTCTCAGGCACCATAGCTGTACTACTCACTTGGATAGGGGAAGGGGGGTGCTATTCACCACTAGATGCCACTAAAACTTGTACACTGAACCTTTTAATATTAAAAAAAAAAAAAAGGCAACACGAGAACCCCCCCCCACCCCCCCATGTGCATTTTATTAAAATCAAAAAAGAAACCTCTCATTTGCTTAAAAAGATTAGTTTGAATCACTAATTTGCGCTAAGTTACTAACCTCAGCTCCTCTGGTCATCCCCATCCTTTCTTTTCCTAACAACCACTTTTTCAGACTCTGAAAATCTGAAAACTGAAATGGTTTAGGATGTAGCTGTCTGTGGGCTACAGGACAGAGCTGTAGGCTACACCAGTTTAGTCTAAGTTTGTACCTGATGTCAACATTGGACAAATAGACAGTAATAAAATACAGCTGCCAGTTACTTTATATAAATTTAGTTAATGTTGAGTTACATAGCAGCCAAAAGACGTAACCTACTGTAGCCTATAAGTTTTCCTGCTCAGCTGTGCAGTCTGAAGGGGAGGGGAGGTGTTAGCTAGTGCAAACTTTCACTTTGCCAGCAGTTGGGGGAACAACATACAGAGTTTTCTTGGTCTTGAGAAGCTAACACACCGTAACCGATACGGTGAAATTAAGTTCGCTCCAACTACTCAAGTTGTTGACACCTACGACGACGTCTGGCTGCTCTGCTACCTCACCCCCTCCATCTACATATCCAGTTTCTATCTCGGTTCAGTTCCCAGATGAGACGCTGCGGCGCGTCTGGCTGCTCAACATGATCGTAGCTTTCATCTACTCCACACAGGTTGCTGATCAGGACTCACCTCTGCAGAACCTTTAGTCTGGTTCTGCTGGTTCTGTTCAGTAAACAGGTCTCTCTGTGTTGCAGCTGCAGGAGCTGATGTGTCACATGATGATATGGAGCCTGGTGATGTTCAGGAAGGACTCTGTGCTCAACATCCTTAGTGAGACACTCTCAAAGGACACCTGTCCTCACGTCTTCCACCTGTGTCCACCTATCCTTGCGTCGTCTTTTTCTTTGTGTGTCCACAGTTTAGTCTCTAGACTAGAAGACCTCCGAGCAGTACAGCACCTGGCAGCTGTTCCTGGAGACCATCATCCCCATCCTGCAGAACCTTAAATATAAAGGTGAGTGGTGTCCAGGAAAGGGTCCTTTGTCTTCGTGTTCCTAGAACACCCGGAGGCCTTGTCCTGTCTGCTGCTGTTGCTCCGCGGAGAGAAGTACGACAGGAACACACCTGGACACTCGTCTTAGAGACTCCTGGGTCCCCGTTAACGTCTCTGTCTGTGTGTCCCAGGCCCAGTGAGGAGTTGGTGAAGATGAGTCGTCCCTGACACCCCGAGGACCAGTTCACCACCAGCATCCTGAGATACTGGGCGTCCAATCAGGAGAACACATAAAGGCCCAGCTGATCAGGAACAGCAACCAGCCCCGCAAGAGACAGAGGTGTGGACAGACTGGGACAGGTGAGGACAGACAGATGAGGCCTGACAGGAGAGAGGTGAGGACAGACTGGGACAGGTGAAGACAGACAGAGAGATGAGGACGGATTGATCGCTTCAGGTATTGATAACTGATAACTGATTGATTGTGTCTGTCTCTGCCAGTCTTCACTCAGACCCCGATCCTTCAGGCTCTGCAGCACATTCAGGCCAGCGGTGACGAGGTCCATGAGATGAGGTATGCGCTAGGGCTGCAACAATTAGTTGACGTGAAATTTCATTGTGAGTGGTGCTAGCCAGCCGGCCAGTCTAACCCACAGAGCCCTCTGGTCCCAGTTATTCAGACCACTGCAGCAGCAACAACAGAGCTACAGAGACCGAGGAAAGGCAGTGTTTCCCATATGTTCATTTATTTGTGGCGGCCCGCCACAATATCAACGCTGACCACCACAGATTGATTTTCGATTGTTTTTTGTTTTTTTAAATTGTATTTGATTGCAGAGCGCCTAGTGCATTTGTGCAGCACATCTTCTCGCTCATCTCTCTCTTTCTCACTCACCTTTCTCGCTCTCGCTCTCTCTACCTCTCCCTCATGAACACAGCTGCACAAATCTTTCCAACACAACGCTGTCAATGTTGGAGATCTTAAAAAAGTTATTAGCAAGCATGTAAGGAGCCAAGCATGTAATAAGGAGAGCTAAGTTTTTGAGGTTAGCACACTGTATATAGGTGGTAGTCAATATCGACTGCACGCGCACCCCCCCCGCCCACCACAGTTACACTGTCATTCTGTGGGAAACACTGCAATATCAACGCTGACCGCCTCATACTGATTTTCGTTTTTTAGAAAATTTTACTAGGCCTATTTAAAATCTTATTTGATTGCAGGTCAGCACCGCAGCACATTCGCGCAGCACATCCTCACTCTCTCACTCACTCACTCACTCATACACACACACACACACACAGACGGGTGACATCATTCCATTTCAAAACCCCAACGGAAAATTTGATATTTAATGTGGACAGACTGAGACAGGTGAGAACAGAAAGGTGAGGATGGAAAGGCAGGTGAGGACAGATGGACGGTCAGGCAGGTGAGGACAGACAGGTGGGGACAGATGAACAGATGAGGACGGGCAAGTGAGGACGGACTGAGACAGGTGAGGACAGACAGGTGGGGACAGATGAACAGATGAGGACGGGCAAGTGAGGACGGACTGAGACAGGTGAGGACAGACCAGACACCCCTTTTCTCTCAGCTGGACAGGTAGGCTGGAATAAAATACAGCTGCTTCTTACTTTCTATAAATTGAACTAAAAGACATTCTGTTAGCTTCCTGCTCAGCTTCCAGTCTGAAGGGGGGGAGATGTTTGTTAACCTGCTTCACTACTCCAGCCGTTTGGGAACAGACTTTTGTTGGACTGGAGCAGAGCCCTTTAAAGAGAGAGTTGTGTCAGCGGGAGTCCAAAATGCTTGATCGTCACATGGTTCATGGAGACCGCAGATAGTTCCCGGAAGTCCTTGCAATTGAAAATGAGCGAGAGAAACGACAAAACGGCGATTTTAAGCAATTTTTGGTATTTTATACAATAAATGCGTTCATTTACAATATTTGTACAGCACACTGACACGTGTATGTAGTTACATTACTATTTTTTAAAAAGGAGGAAATATATTTTTGACAATAACAGCTACAATCACCTACCATGTTGACATTTTTTGGCCAACCTTACATTGGAAAGTGTGTTCCTCTTGAAAACACGTTTAAAATTCAGATCAGATTTAGCTTTCTAATATACCTTTTAGTAATCCCATGGTACCAGGGTTAATTGATCTTAATGACTGAATGTCTTTATGACTTCAGATATTTCCTCCTGAGATTCACCGTCACTTTCTGTCACTCGGACAATCAAACACTCTGAGACCCACAGATTAAAGGAGCTACTCTGATAACAGCGCCTGTCAGGTAGACGTCCTGCAGGGTCTAAAAAAAGTCTAAAATTTCAACATTTAAGTTTTTGTCCTAGGTCTTACATAATTTTAAACGGGTATTTATTTTTCAACGTCCATGTAACGCTGCCTCTAATGCTCGTTGAAATGGCCCTGCAGCACTCAATAATGTTTTTTCCTCCTGTGGTGGTGTAGTTCTTTCTGTCGCTAGTCCAAATCAATCCAAATATAATTCGCTGTATTACAACTACAATGACTAACAGGCAGCTTCATGTTATTGCCCAAGTCTCTTTCGGATTGTACCACAGATAAAAACGAATTTATTCTTCAGCTATGGGGAGTTGCAACCTTATTGGTTCTTGGATGGAAAAACAGATCTTAAGGCTTAAAACTAGTCTCTAGCAATGTATTTGAAGCCTACTGTTGCTGCTTAATGAATGAGCGGCAGAAAGTGACGGTGAAAGTTAGCAGAGGATAAGATCAGCATTAAGTTGTCGGTTACAGGTTACTCTGTTCTCTACTGTACATCTTGATAATTAAATTAAAAGAGAGGACGGTGTTGACCACAGAGGAGCTGAGGTTAGTAACGTTAAGCAAATTAGGGATGCAAACTAACGTTAGTCCTTTTAAGCTAATGAGGAGATTATTCTTTTGGATTTTGATGTACAAATGAAATGCTTGTAATAATACAGAAGGGAGGTGGTTTTCATGTTGCCTATTATTTATGTTAATTTCTACAAATGTATAAAGCAGTAAATTAAGACACAAAAGGCAAACATGAATAATCCTATCTGTACTGATTCTGAGGTCATGTGTTTTGGTGGTGATGCTACTTGGTGCTGAGCAATGAATGTAAAATCACTGTGGAGAGCATCAAAACTAACCAAATGGATTTTCCCAGATTTAATGGTGAAAATTCAACCCCAGTAGACTTATTTAGCTTTTGGGGTGTAGTTTATTATTGTCTCCCTGTCTGCTACCCTGAGTTTATCCATTCAAGTTTTATAAAGTCGTCAAAAAGACACAGAACGCTAATCCGAATACATTGATTTACTCTGCAAGTAATTTTGTGATTGCATTTCCTTTGTGTTAGGTGATAAAGGTTTTAAATTTCATTCATAATGGTTTTAAAAAGGTTTTAAATTTGACCAGGTGAAACCTGCAGAAACCTTGATATTGTCCAATTACCTCGTTAAATGATTAACTAAACAGATGAGGCTACTGTCATGCCACAGCCTAACTGTGATTAGTCAGGATGATGCCAAGGGAAGCCAGCCGCTGTCTGGCTTCACGCCAATCAAATCGCAGCACGCGATCAACGTCATTCAGATGAAATAACGGGAGCTGTTAGCAACTTTAGCTGGTGCAGTTATGAAGGGTGGAGATTTGGAGTTTTTAGTTATAATAAATAGTTCTACTAAACTACCACTACAGCAGCAATTTTGGATTAAATCTGACGGAAGACCAACGCCAAAACTGGAGCTGCGTGTGGAGAGGGAAAAGGGGTTTCGGGCGTTCAATGAGGAAAACTATATCCGTACTGAGTGGCTAGCCGGTAGCGCCAAACTTCAACTGACTCTGATGTGGAGGACGTAAAAGCCAGTGGGAAATTCTCTAACATGGTTATTGACCACTTTGCCTCCATGGAAGACAGGAGAATGGGCTTCCTTTTCAAATAGGGTGAGTGAAATGTCACCTTCTTCTCTCTCTGAACTGAACTGAACTGCAGCTCTGTGCGATTTTTGACGTGGTTATATTGTTTGTTTTTGTTTTGCTTACCTGGATTTAGCTGCGAATGAATAGTCCGCTGAAGTAACCTTACTGTTTTTACTGTGGTTGTGTACGCATAGATAATGAGCTCCGGACAGCACCTGGCACAGGGCACTGGGCACTGGGCCAGGTTAGGTTAACTTACCCGACTTATTGTTTTTACTCTGTCGGTCTGGTATTTGGCTGTTAATGTATGCTATTTGGAGTGAGTGAGAGAGAGAGAGAGAGAGCATGTTGGTAAATGCAACTTTGGGATTGTGCATTGATACCGGATAGTGCGCATCTAAAGTGTGATTAAATTTTGTGTAAAATTATACCCTGCACTGTAATAGCACAATATATTAGATAATTGCCCTGCAAAAAAAGACATCCCCTCTCACTTGGCTTCCCCAAAAAGTTACCCCACCCCACGCCACTGGAATAAAATTATGCATCATCGCTTTTTCCACAAAACACAATAAAGTAAGTAGTGAAAGAAAATTTTATTTAAGTTATTATCACTTAACATAAAAAAATCTCATAAAGAATCTGGAAATAGAGAATGTTGCAAAAAAGAATGACAACAAACTAATTATCAAAATTGTTGCTGGTTAATTATCTGATCAAGCAGTCAATTACTTTGTCTATTCAGCTTTATGCAAGATCAGGACTACTATCTGAAAGTTGACTAATTTTGTTGAGTGAGTTTTCATTAGTATTTGAGTATAGCACTATATATATATATATATATATATATATATATAAATAAATTATTTATTTGAGTAGATTTCCCTCAGATTATAAGTTGTGCACAATTACATTTGAGTAAAGAATTAGTGGAATTTAATTTTAATAAACATCAGTAAATCAAGTCATTTAGTATGCAGAAATTAAAGTTTTAAAAAAAATGTATTATATTGAAGTTAAGGTTTACTTAATATTATTACCACTACTACTCTACCACCCCAGTTTCCACAAATATTTTGAGTATTCTGTACTTATTTGGGTTTACAGTGTATATATTGTTGATCACATCAGACACACCTGTCGGCTCCCGCTGCTAACAGCCGGCTGCCAGAAACAGTGATTATAGCCTACATGTATTTGTACCGGGATGGCACGATTCCGCCTGGTTGGTCTGTCCCAGATCCAAGGGCACAACTCTAGGGAATCTAAATGGAAATATTAGCCAGTCATCATCATGGGCCAGGTAATCTTCATGGACACTCTCTAATCCTTACACTGGCGTTTTCCTCTGCGGTGCCATCGCGCAGCCATGCTGCATTACGCAGTGTCACGCAGTATTTATATGTTTACAGCAGTACAGAGTAGGCTTCACACCTTGCCAAAATGATGGCTTCAGTCAGGGGTATCCCCCATCCCGGGAGATCATTTGAAGATTGAGGTTTAACAAATCCGTGTATGGTTCATTCTTTGGTTAATTCGTTTCAAAACCAAATCGTAAAAAACAAGTAGTTTTTCTGTTTTAAAACTAAAACGGAAAATCAAAGCAGCTGCGTTTTGTTCTATCTATGACCGGTGTTGTATCACTACTGGTTTTCAAACTAACTGGCTGCTGTACATGTGGCCTGCTTGCTACAGCTGTGGTCTGCGTCGGGCTTCATCCAACCAGAGAGAATGATCACAGACCATCTGCAGCGCAACAGGTCGCTCCTGCTCCCGCTCAGGTTGAAATGGCTACACTCATCAAAACTCAAGTTGATATTTATGCTAGTTGTCCATTTTAGCTTGAAATAAATAGGTGTAAAATGTAGCTGTTTAAATAATAAAACAAAAAATAAACAATGTTTACGGAAACAAAATGTCAAACAGGGTACATGTGTTCATTATGTTTAATTTTCAAATAACTGATGGCAAAATGAGAATATTTACAAGAGAAATGATGTATGATCTGTACAAAGAAATATACATGCAAAGATAAAAAACAAATAACAAACATGTATTTTATGAAACCGGAAACAAACATGACCAAAAAAAAAGACAGACAATGAAGGAAAAAAACAACCTAAACTGAGGTATCCAGTCCAAGCATCCTTGTTTGTAATGGCCTGTGCACACCTTTCAAATAAATAAAAAGGTAACTGGATGTCTGTTCCTGGTGGCATCAGTTTAAACATAACACATCCTAACCCCATAATGGATTCATGTGTAGTTAAGTGGTTATAGCACAGCTATCTCGTTTTAATTTCCAGGAAAGAAAACTAATGAAACCAAAGCCGCCATCTTAGGGTAGTGTTTTTTTTTGTTTTTACACACAAAGAACTTGAATTTAGCAAAGAAATATTTTGGCAACAAGTATCTGTACATAAAGTTAGAACACCATTTAGTAAACGATGCACAAATCTCCCATTCAACTCTTCCAATGAAACTGCAATGCTCCATTCTCTGTGAAGAGGAACTTTAAACCCGTCTCTTTACTAAAGAGCACTAAACAAACTAATCCTGTTCCTCCAACATAGTGTTTAACTAGTGTAAACAATCATTTGACATGGTCATAGATAACCTAACTCAAGAGAACCACATTTTTATTAAGAACTATAAAGCTAGAGCAACTTTGGTGTACCAATACTACAGGGACATACAGTACAAAAGTGTTAAATCATTTTTGATCAAACCATAATGATTGTAGATTGTGTACTCTAACTTGGCCTGGCAGTTGTAACACTTAAAGATCAAATAAACACAAACTACCAGCAGTGCTTGCAGTACCAAGTACGTGCTTTTCTCTAGATTTATTACAGATACAACAGATGTCTTCATAAATAGTTGCATAAAATGTTAAAGCCGCAACATTGCACATGATAATCAAACATAACATACAATGAGTGCATTTACAGTAATTTCTCTTCCCCTGCCTCCACATTCACTCCCATCTGATTGGCAATCACTGCTGCCACTGAGGCTCTGACAGTCTCGTGTCCTGCCATCCGAAAGCAGGAGTCCGCTGTGAATGTGAGAGGAAAGAAGGCAGAAGTCTATATACAAGGTAAGGCTTAAACATCTCATATCTGCGCAACACAAGTTTTGTTCTAGGAAAAGCAAACTGATGGATGTCTATTGTTTCTTCTCAGATTGGACAGTGCAGCATTGTTACTCGTGACATGGTCATCATGGTATCATTTTAGATTAGGTACATTATATAAGCGCAGCCATCAAAAAGCTCTGAACGGACGTATAAATGTCTCAATAAAATCAAACCTCAGTCACTGTTTCCAGGTGTCTACAGAGTCCAAAGTAGCACAGCAATTTTCAACTGATGAGCTTTTTCTACTAATGTTTTTTTCTTGGAAACGTAGACAGTACTTTTCCTTTGTATACATTGTTTCTATAAGAAAGGGCTGCTACTCAAAAGTCTTTGAGTTACAGTGTTAGTGTAAAAGAGCAAAAACACACAACGTCTGTGTCCCTCTGGCAACAAGAGGGAGGGCAGTTTGTTTCTCACTAGCTTTGTTGGCATCACTTCCTCCTGAAAGCTCTGCATCTGTGCAGTGGTGTCAAAGCTCGATCAATTGGCTCTTCTGATCAACTTTAACTCTTGCAAAGGAAAATAAATTACTTCTTAAGGTTTTTTTATTTTGTTTATTTAAATTTTTTTTACATTTTTTCACTTAACTAAAAAAATCTATTTTAAGTTGAAACCAGCAAGCAGCAGTAGACAAGGGCATCCATAATTTACGTGATTGGTGAGAACTGTGTTCTCTAGGACTCTGTTTGGCTTAAAACCTCAACAGGTCTCAGTTTAATTGGTGAAAGGACTACAGGACTTTAGTAAATCAACATTCTGTGAAAGAGGATGAGATAAGCATTCATTATTTCTCCTTGCTTTTACATCTAGACCATCAAGATGCTCAAATCCAGAGGAGCCTGCAGCCCCTACAGTCTAAGCACTGGACATCCAGTTTTTACTGCTTTTGTCAGCTATGATCAGATTGGAGGCGGCAAAGATTAGGGGGCTGGTTTGGACTTGTGTATCCTATCCTTTAAACTCGGGGCTGAAGGCGACTTTGGATGAAGCTCCTGACTCCTCCGATGGCCCGGGCATCAGTCTGATGTTTCCTTCTGTCTATGAAGGAGATGAGGCGGGAGGTGTCCAGGCAGCCCTCTGCTCTGGACCGGCCGTCAGCTGGACCGGCCGTCAGCCACGACTCCTGGAGGCAGATCCCGGCTGGAGGCCTCCTGTCTGGGTCTGTCCTCAGGAGCAGGCAGATGAAGTCCCGGGCCGCCTGGCTGACGCCCTGGAAGTAATCCCTGGGGAAGCTGAAGTCTAGCCGGCAGATGTTCAGGCAGGTCTCCTCTGTGCTTTCGTCAAGGAAGGGTGAGGCGCCGCTCAGCAGTACGTAGGTCACCACGCCCAGGCTCCACAGATCGGTGGTCAGGGACAACGGCTCTCCAAGGACCAACTCTGGGGAAGCAAACTCCGGGCTGCCCAGCAGAGGGTGAATATAGTGGGCACTGTTGAGCTGGACAGCATCACCAAAGTCTGTGAGTTTGACCGTTGGCTGGCCACTGGAGCTGTGGGCCACCAGCAGGTTCTCAGGCTGGGAAAAAAGATTACAGTGTCACCATTAGTCTTGTCTACTTGATTCTTATTCGTTACTACAGTCCAGCAAGTTTTCCACACTAAATTCATTTGTTGTTGTTGCAGGTGAGACATCATGCAAAGTCTGTGTGACCTTCAGTATTCAAAGATAAAACAGGATCCAACTGCAAGTTGATCCATTTATGTCTGGAAACGTGACCGTTAACTGCCATGACGACCAACTCAAGCTCAGTCACTCAACACTTTAAGGCCTGGGCACATCTCGATGGAATAGCTCAATATTTTAGGAAATAGAGTTGTATGGGCAGACTGATACCAAGCTCATCTCTGTACGGTAAATATGAAGCCAGCACCTGGCTAGAATGGCTCTGTCTGAAGGTAACAAATCCACCAACAGCACCTCGAAGACTCATCAATTAACACATCTTGTTTGTTTTATTAAGTACAGAAAACTGTTAAGTGTATAAAATCGTGGTTTTTATGGATGATTATGTGCCAGACTTTTTGTGCTAAGCTAAATGGCTGCTGGCACACGGATGTGAGAGTGGTATCAGAATGTTGCAGTAGGAGCAGATCACTGATTCACATCTGAACAGATGCTTTTAGCAAAGGCTGTGAAAGAGGGACAAACAATAAGGATAGAGAAATCCTCCTCTGTGAATGTTTCCGTTTGCATAGCAGCACATGATTTTGTGCTTTTGCCTGAGTAGGTGAGAAATCTGACCACTCTCATAGGATTGTTTTAACCTTTTCCCATGTATATGTCTGTACAGAAATGTGCTTAATGCCAAATCTTTTTCACACACTGCAGGGGGTTCCCCTGTGCTGCTATAAGAAATATCAATCACGGTAATAAAAACACTATTGCAGTGGAAGTAGTTACTTTTATGTCCAAATGTGCTATCCTGCAGTTGTGCAGGTAGTGTAAAGCTTCTAAAACGTCTCGAAGGTAGCAGGCCACTTTCTCCTCCGTCAGATTCCCCCAGCTAACAATGTAGTCCAGCAGACGGCCTTGGTCAGCCCTGAGAAACAAACACACAAAAGTAGTAAAACATCAGATGGAAGAAATGCAAATGCAGGCCTGAGCGAGCTAATGAGCTACATATGTTTAGAGTTCTCACATTTCCAGGACGAGGGCGTAGCTGCTGGGGGTTTCATACGTGTCTATCAGGCTGACTATGTGGGGGTGTTGAAGCCTCTGGAGCAGATTGAGTTCCTGAGTCACCCGGTCCCTCCTCATCAGCTTCTTGTTCACGTGTTTAACCGCCACTGTGCGTTTGGTGCCCCGCTGGTCACAACGCTTGACAACAGAGAAACGACCCCTGGGGAGGACGGACATTCAGAGGTCAGTTAGTTCACTTCAGACACTTGTTGTGGTTGTGGAATCAATGCCACTGTCAGAATCTGAATTTTTCAAATCTATTTTATTCATAGACAACCTGTGTATAGTATGTTTTAGGCAACAAAATGAATCAGTCATATCAGAAAACACTGTCTGAATGTCTGAATTTTGACTGAATGTCAAAAGGTCTATGCAAAAGCTGTACACTGAGATATTAAGTCTATTACCTGCCCAGTTCAACCACCTCATTGTAGTGAGACTCAAAGTTGTCCTTCCAGCTCACTCGGATCCCGTCAGTGGACACGGCTGAGACAATTAACACACAATCAATTCATGTCCACACCAGCATGTGTCGAATAAACTGTGCAGAGGGCTCGATGCTGCACATTTTGTTCTCTTCTCTTACCTAACACTCTGAGGCTAGCTGATGACGTCACGCTGCCCAGCTCGTTTGTGGCAACACAAGTGTAAACGCCGTCATCATCAGAGGCTACGCCGACTATCCGCAGCGTCGCCTCACCCGTGTCACTGAAATAAACACATACATGTGAATCTACACATGAATTCAACATTCGACTTTTTCCTTGTTGAGCAGCAATTTCTTTTTGTTAAAACAGTCAACTGTGGGGCCACAAACGAGTGACAGTCCTATTGGACAGTGAAAATAAACCCAAAAGAAAATCTGAGCTGCAGTCTGATTTGTTACCAAACACCAAGGGACACTCGTGTAGTGATGCTCGGACTGCATTTTCTTACCTGTAGGCGATGCTGATGTGTCCATTGTTGGTGAGGTTGCTCTGGTTGGGTCCCTTCCAGGTAATGGTGGCCCGGGGCCGACCGCAGACCTTACACCTGAGGGTTACACTCTCTCCGTTGTCACACGTCACATCACTCAGAGGTACAAGGAACTCTGGGGGAACTGAAAAAGGAGAAGGGGAAAAAAAAGTCAAGATTAAATCCTACCAAATGCGGAGATGATATTCAAACTTCAGCGCTGACTGTTTAAGTGATGCTTTTGATGTCACAAAATTTGTTAATCTTCAAAGAAACACAATTCCACAAAGTTAACACTTACCATCGTAGATGTAGTTTGGATTTAGAAGCTAAAAAGAAAGAACGAAACAGGTCAGCATGGAAAATGCAAAGTAGAATAGAAGCAGGACTTATTAGCAGCAGAGCGTCTTCAGATGTACTGATAAACTCACCTTTACAGAAACTTTATTGGCCATGCCATCTCTGGACTTCCTGTAACCGTTTTCCAGCTTGGTCTCTTTCTTTGCCTCCTTCTCCTTCTTCTCAGACTTTTTACGGATGCGTAGGGACGTGTGCCAGGATGAAGACTTCCTGCTGGGACAACAAAAGGGATCCAGTCAAATCACACTGACACTGAGGTAGATTTATTCGTCTCTAATTTAAATGTGGTTCAGGACAGCTTCAATCAATAATATGGATGAAGCTGAGACAGATATGAGACTGCAACCATTCATTTTTAACAGAACATTAACAATTTCTCAGAGCTCTTACTTGATGGATCCTTCGGGGCAATCAGGGACTATGGCAGAGGTGTGTCCCAGCACAAATCCGGGGATCCAGCCCTCGGCGGCGGGGCCCTGCTCAGTAGCCGCCCTGAACACCAGGAACATGTTTTGCTGGTTGCTGGCCAAGATCTGGACCACCTCACCCTGAATGACGCTGATCTCATCCTCCTTCACTGCCATGTAGTCCTGGGTCACCAACATGGTGGATACGCTACTGCTGCTGCTACTTTCACTCTGCACACCACAAGGGAGGAAACACGGGCACGTGGGAAATTGTAAGTACAATCTCACACGCTTCATTGCAGTAAAATCTTAACACAAGTTGGGATTTCACACTAAAATATAAATCCAATACTTTTGGAAAAGTGAGAGAAGGTTGTAGCAGAGGACAAACACTGAGATAGATGTTTGATTAGTGTCCACTTGATAAAGTCTTCAGAAAGGATTAGAGTGAAGTGCAAGAAAGACTAAAAAACAGTGATTCATTAATTTCTTCTTGGGGGGGGGGGGACAAAGAACTGGATGAAGAAAGGCAGGAATAAGATGGAGATTTCCATTTCACTCATCTTTGCTCTGCAGCTCCAGGCAAAGAGGAGGAACGTTAGGCTGAATGAGAGCATCTCTGTCGAGTACGTTTGGAGGCGAACCACAAACGTCAGGTTAGTTTCAGGAAAAGTACATTTCAGTAACACACCATGAAGACAGCAGGAGGTGAAGGACGGCCAGGAGGAAGTCAGGTGTTAGTGTAAGCTTAGAGTTAAGAAATCAAGAGACAGCCTTGAAAGAGAATCACTGAGGAGCTGACTGAGGTCCACTAGAGAGGTTTTGAACCTGAAAACGTGTTGACAGCGGAAACGTTTGCTAGAGATTGTCTTCAGAAATTGGCTAAAGTTAGAAAAGATGATGCTGAAGAGCAGTGAAGGTTGTCAGAAATATGTAGTAGGGGACAGATTAGTAGCGCTGGCTGCAGCAGGACAGGAGACAGACAGGACAGACCAGGCCTCCCTTTGCCTCGGTGTTAGTCGGTGCAACACTGGGCAGCAGGTATTAGTCTTACCCCGTTACTCTGGGTGGACTGGATGGACTGCTCGCTGGCCGATGAGCACGTACTCATGCGGTCGGCTTCCTTGCTGTGTGTGGAGTGTCTGTGAGTTAGGCTGCTAGATCCAGAGCCAGTCTGGATCTGGTTCGAGTTCTGACGGACAGGAGTCTCTCCTGCCTCCCCCGGGAAAGTGAACGAGCCAGGCCGGCTGGCTGGAGAGCCTGGCATGGAGCTCCAAAATCCAGATCCAGACTTCTGGCCCGGGCTGGGAGGGGGAGGAGGGAGGCCATCCTTGCCAAAGGCAGGAGTGGCCAGGGGCAAGGCCATTGGGGACACGGCTCCTGGCCGTGGTTTGGATGTGGGTGTAGAGGGCAGGGGCCCAACTGTGGCGCGGGGAATAGGGGCAGGAACAGTGGGGGTCTGTGGTTGGTCCTCTAGGGTCTGGATGGGGCGCTTGCCCTGCGGGCTACCCCCTGGAGGGAGTAGGGGAGAGTGGATAGGACAAGACGACGAACCTGGATCATAAGTGAGCAGAACTCACAACTCAGTCACATCTTTCATTTTACAAAACAAATTTCACAAATAGACAGACGTTCCATACCTGACATCTTGTTGGGGCCGTCGGTGTCAGCCCCAGGGTGGAGGCGTAGGGGCTGGGGCAGGCGTGAGGGCTGGGGGATCCTGGAGGGCCGACGAGAGCCACCCTGGGGCCCTGAAGGGATGGCGCTAGCCTGGGAGCTTCCACCTCCGACTCCAGGGGGCGCACTGGACCCACTGCTGCCCCCAACCGGAGCTCCCGTGCTGGGCACACATGACCCACCGCTTGCCCCTACATGGTTCCTCTGATACTCTATTGGTGAGGTCAGAGCTGTGATAAGGTACCAAAGAGACAAGCATGGCCATGTTGCCAACAGTCCTCCTATAAAACTCCTATGTTTGTGTGTGTGCACGCCTACCATTGAGGAAGTTGCGTTGGCTCTCGAGTATCTGGCTGATCTGAAGGGTCCAGACCTCACGCACCCCTGGGTGGGAGGAGTGAAGCACAAAGGACTCCACGGTGCCGTTGGTTGACCGAGAACTGAGACTGAACTTACAGGGGTCGCCTTCCACATTCTCCTCTAGACCCAAACAGCTTACCTACAGAGTGCAAAGGGAGAGGGAGACGCATTGTTACATACCACAGTAGTTCGAAGTAAATACTAAGCTTTAATAGTTAAGAAATCAATCATTGCTTCAGCATTTTTCTTGCATTCTCTTCCCTCAATTGACTTATTCTTCGATAATATAGATTTAAAACCCAACATTTCACTCTTAAAAAAAGTTAATCCAGATGACTACATTGTCAAAATAAAAGCTCCAATAAACCGCAATGGAGATTCTTGTTGCATAACGTACAAAAACAGAAAATTTATCTTATTTTGAAATTATCATAGTATATCTACATTAGGAGTGTACATTTTAGATTGTTACTCACTCAAAAACTAACTGATTATCATTATTATATTATATACACTATTTATTATTAGTAGTAGTAATGTTATTGTTTTTGATTATTATTAGTTTAATACATGCTGCAGTTTATCCACTAGGAGGAGCCATTTAGCTGACAGATATTCATACATCCTCAGTTCCACTGGCCTTCACTGATAATGCAGTACACCGTGCACAGCCCCCCATATATATCAGTTACCTTGATGCTATTCTTGTAGAGGAAGCCGGGCAAGGAGAAACCTTTCTTCTTGTCGAGGGGCTCGCTAAAGATGACCAGCTGCTCAAAGAGGAAGACTCTCCTCTCTTTCATCCGGCCGAGCAGACTTCCCTCGGGGTCTAATACCATGAACGTGTCCTGCAGCAAAAGGCGGCCCTGAGCCACAATCTTGCCCTGGAGAGGGAGATGAACAAGATGGAAATGGGTAGATCAGGTGTAGGAAAAAAAGAGACGGCACGGGAGGGTGGAGAAAATTGAAATGATGTGAGGTAGAAGTTTTTGTTCAGAAGGCAACATGCTGTGAAGAACGCGTTGTGTTGATGAGCGCAGCGTTGCTTGTTCTTACATCAAATCCCTGAAGCCGGCCGACATTCATCATATCATTACACCTTTTTGGCACGATGCACATGACCTCCACTGCTTTCTGGAAGAGTCACAAAAGTAGCACAAGGTTGATGGGATTGCTGAACAATGTTTAGTTGTGATTAAGAAGCGCTGTCAATTCAGCTTACCTCCAACTCCATAGACTCCAGCCCAGCCTTTTTAGAGTGTTTCAGGAAATCCTAAAACAGAAAAAAGTGATTTTAAACTGAACAACTCACACTTTTATACATCAATGTAGATTATAAGGAGATGACTGTATAATAATATGGACGCCTGTTCAGATGGCAAGACTACACAAAGAGGAGGCAGGTAAAGAGCTACAGCTCTGGCGCCCTCTGCTGTATTAAGAGACCAACCTTAAGCAGCAGCTGGTACTTCATGATCCTCTGGACTGGCTTGATGAGCAGGTCTGAGATCTGTAGCCTGTGTCCCAGCCGCTGCTTCAGGTCCTACAAAGTCAAAGGTCAAGGGTTACTACAGAACCTGATGCATCTCAGATGCGTCTCTTCAAAATAATGGACTCATACCTCAAAGTAGGTGTCGATGTATTCTGAGACGATGTGCTCTGACTTGGGCTTGTTTTGACAGTAGACTACATACATGTTTAGCCTCCGCTCCTGGATACAAAAAGCGTACACAATTACAGCATGATCAAAGGGGTATATAAGCATTGTCCAAACAAAGTAGGAGTTTTACATTCACCATGGACGAACCTGTTTGAGAAAGAGGGGTGCCAGTTTGTCGGGGTCGTCCAAACATTTCTCCAGCTCGCCAAGAAAGAAACTATAAAAGAGAGAGAGAGAGAGGTGTAAGCTACCGTACTAGATTACTACTACTGAATTTGGCCAGGGAAAGCTCTGCATTCTACATATGTGTGCGTCACATACTCTTTGTGACAGTCGTAGATCTGGTGGATGTTGCCAAACACGATTTTGTCTTTTCCCTTCATATCATCAGGGACACCCTCCTCCTTCATCCGGCTCATGTAGCCCTTACGGTGGAGATGCACAAACACATTAACAGAAATTTACAACAAGGGTTCTGCAAAAGTTCAGCAAATAATCAAGTCTAATTCTTTCAAGTGACATTTTAAAATGCTTAGAATAAACTGTACTATTAGGAACCAACAAACTTCCACACACAGTCATTTGCAACTAGGTAAGCAGCTGATAAAGCAGCAACTCACCTCCACCACTAGGCCGAGGTCTCTAACATATTCTCTCTCTGTCTCCACCAACTCCAGCAGAATGTAACTACAGCAGAGACAGAAACAAAATTCCAGACATGAGGGAAAGTCACAGCGAATTCCCCAAACACCTCAGTGTCTGTGATGCAGATGAAGGAAGCGGACGTACTGTCTTTTCTTGAGGACGCTGGTCCTGCGTTCGTCCATCTCTTCCATGGGGGAGGAGGAGGAGAGGAGGGAGTTGTCAGAGGGGTTGAAGGAAGGAGAGCTGCTGTCTCCCTGTTCTACTGACAGTGAGCTGGGTCTGTCCTCCAAAGCCTGCACCAGGGAAAAACAGACGGTAAACTAAATGCTAACTCGTGTAAAAGTGACAAATGTCTTCAGCATATTCAGGCAGTCAGCTGATGCCATAATCCACATGCTGGCAAGGTTTCCTGCATGGGTTCTCGTTTTCCTCTGTTATCCTACCATCTTGCTTTTGACCAGCTCCTCGATGGCGCTCACTAACTCGGCGGCACTGGGCGTCTCTGAACTGGATGGACGGACCGACAACCGAGAAGAGGTCTGGGTAAAAATAGAGAGTTGAGAGGACGGGATGAGGGTGGAGGGAAGAAAAAAGAGCATTAGAACCTGGTAATACATACTATCTAACAACTACATCTGCTAACTCTGCTCTTCAGCTGGCGTCAATACAACTCCTACAGATAATGTAACGTAGCGTTTAATGTAACCAGACTATAGTTTAACTGATACAAGCTTTACTTAATCAGTCATTTAAAGAGATGTGACAACTACACTTGCTATGTAAAACAACAATTTCTTCATCTCTAAAACAGATTATACTCCTGTTTTGTGTGAAAACTTGACCCATGACCTACATGTACTGTAAGTTGGAAGAGTCTATAAATGGATAGCAAAAGAAATAGCTTAATATTATTTTTTGGTTAAAGGTCATGCTTATGTTTGGGTTAAGATTAATTTCAAGCTTTTGTTTAGCTTGTTTCTTAGTTAGTTTTATTATAAGCAAATGTTTTAATTTAGTTTTTTGAGTGAGCAATGACTTAGTGAAAAAGATGTTTCCAGAAGTGAAACCCCAATGCTGGGGGTTTATATCTAAAGGTTCAGAGAAAGTGAAAAAGAAAAGTATATGTTATTTAACAAAAAAAAACTCAATGGAAAGGTAAAAACATGAGGCTGAAAGTGAACAAAATGAAGAAGTGGGAAAAAAGTGTCAAAATGGTGATGGGGAGGATGGCTGGAGAGGGTAAAAAAAGTCATGTTTTGAAAGGAAGATGTTTCCGGTGCTTTCCTGTGATGATGAACAGCCTTTGAAATAATGAAAATAAAAAAGGATGCTAACAGAGCGAGAATGAAAGAGGTGTATGTATGTATGTATATATAGTTGAGGAGACTCTCACCCTTGCTGTGCTGTGCTTCAAGACTTTCCACAATTAGGTTTTCTGGGTGAGGCTGTGTGCCCTTCTGGCCTCGCCAGCGTTTAGAGATGCCAATTACTCGCATGGGTAATGAGGTTAACGCACAGAGGGTAAAAGGGAGATGAGGACGAGCGGGCAGGGCGGGGGTGAGGGAGGGGGTTGAAGGATGATGGGGACAGGGGGGCTTTTGAACTTTCACCTCAGTGTGTGGGGTCATACTAAGATAATTATTCAGGGGAGCTGCCTGCTCAGCTGAGAGGGAATCCCCGTTTCCTCATTGTATTAATACTGACATCTACCTGTGTCTTTTAAACCTCACCAACGCTTTCCAAACCTATGAATGATTAACATGCAGAAAAAAGCTGCAGTCCTGTGGTATTCCAGCAGGCTCAAGGCATTAAAAAATTCCCTCGAAATTTATACTTGACGTGAATTTGGCATTAGAGCCGTCTGATCTGCACTAACACAAACGGGAAAAACTTCCACATTGTCCTCCGTTTAGAGTAAAGAGCTACATGCACCTTCTCTTTATCTATATTTTCCCGTAATGCCTTTGCGCCAAGTCGACTCTGCATTACAGCGGTGTGTTGTAGAAACAGGGCAGAAAGTACTAGACAAAATGAAAAAAAAAAAAGAAAAAAAGGAAAAACTTCTGCACTAAAGAAATTCAGGAATGTTTAAGAGTTCAGAAAAATACAAAAGTAAGGAAGAGTGAGTTTTAGGGGACAGAGAGAAGAAGAAACTTAAGTCTAAAAGAGCTGCTAGCTTCATTTCCTTTCAATCTAGAAACTGTTGTAGAAACCGAAGGAAAAGCCTTTAGCAAGTAGCATTTAAAGCTGAAGAGTGCGGGGAAAAAAGAGAATTAAAGAATTGACTGAGGTAAGAAACAGAGGGGGACGAGCGGGACATTTCAGATGGATAGGTATGGAAACTGAGACAAAGCAAAGACAGGACATAAATCAAGGTAATGCTACAGCGTGGCAAACAGCAAACGATACAACCAGGAAACGAAACAAAAGAGAAACAGAAATTAGTGTCAGAGGGGTCTCCGCTTTAGTCAAGGAGGAGACTTGGCGTGTCTGAAACTTTTCATTGCATTCTGCTTTAGAAGAGAAGGAGAATATGATGCAATATGCCAGGATTAAATGTTATGCATAACAGAAACTAAGGAGCCTTAAAACTTAAACTGTCAGGAAAATGCACTTTTTGGGAAAAGTGGGAGACTGAAATGAGCGAAAATGTAACCTACAAGAATTAAAAATCATAACAGCAATGACAAGAGAGAGGACCTGTAAGTGTATAGTGTGTAATATACATGATCTACGGTCTAACTGAAACGAACCCTTAGAGTATACCAATATACCAAATGTGATGTATTTTCAGACACAGATTTCAATGGCTATTAAAGCCATCTCCCCTTCCCTTTATTGTACAAAGCACATACTATTCAGCTGCTTTTACTTTCTACAGTTAAATCAAAAATGCAAACATACAAAATGCACTAACAGTGCAATTATTAAGTTCATGGTAGCATCATGGCTGGCCTTTTATTTAGGAAAAACCTATAGCGTGCATAAACACTGCACACCCCAACATATGTAATTAGGGAACCAGGGATAATACGTAATGCTTTTTAATACACTCAACAAAGGTGAAAGAGATTGTTTGAAATAGGACTGGGCTACACTTGATATCATAAAACTTTAAACAAAATAATGCAAAATATTGAAGCTAAAGATCAGAGCTTCCGTTCACCACAGATTAAAAATTGACAAACACGTTCAGAAAACTGTAGTGATTTATCTGTAATGTAGCGACGCATAGCTTTGTTGCCATATTTAAATGAACAAAAATCTCTGGCAGCATCTAGGCTCATAACACTTTATACAGATTCATCCAGCCCTAATTCCAAAAGGTGGGAAGGAGATAACTTTGGTGATTTCTGGACTTTAAATTTAAAGAATAATGTGAATCAACTTTGTAGCACTAGGAAATGTTAAAAGTCAAAGGTGAAAATAGTTTTTGTCCCAGTCCCGAAACATACCGTCTCCTGCTCCCTGTGTCCCCTCTGCTTCCCCTGTTCATCATCTTTGCCTGTCTGTCCACCCCCTCTCTTCTGTCCCCACTGTAACGTCCTCCCTCTGCTCACCTTGTCATCCTGTGAGTCTGGCTGCAGCAGGCTGTGCTGCTGGATGGCCATAGGTGGAGGCAGAGGTACAGAGTCGGCGCCTTCCTCGCCCTCTTCCTCTCCGCAGCTCTGCATGCCCGAAGAACTGGACTTGGACAGCGTGCCGCTTGACAAGCCCTCGTTACGAACCCTCTGCAGCACAAATGGATGGCAAAGCAGAGATGATGTCACAATACTTGACAGAGCTGCTAATTGAAGAGAGGAAGAGAGTGTGATTTATCGTGGATCCACTCACCTCCTCCACAGTCTCGTCCTGAGGTGTAGCGGCACTGTCGTCCGAGTCTTTCTGGGACCCCATCGTCATCTCCCCGCTCTTCCTCACATCTCGGCTCTTCTTGTGTTTGTGGGCCAGCTTCTTCACATGGCCATCTGCCTTGCCGCTGCTTAGCCGACGCACAGGGCTGGTGAGCCACTTCCGCAGGGTGTTACCTAATAAAGAAATAAACCAAACACACCAAACTCAGTTCGCTTCTTTAAATGACAGAGGGAGGGAAAGATTTCATCTATATAGCATTCATCACTACACTTCCACCTGTATTTGTTGCCTTAAAGTGATATTTTTAGTTAGAAAAATCACTAAAACTCCCTACTTTAGAAGTAGATTTATCAGTGGTAGTAACATGTGGGGAAAAGTACTCTGGTAAATTAAAAATTTTTTCTGTACACCACTCTGATGTAGGAGGGTTGTGAGATCTTTAGCGCAACAAACGGTATGGCAAAGGTCACCATACCTGGCCGTTTGGGCCCTGGTGAGGTGTGGGAGCTGATGCCGTGAGCAGGTTGCAGCGTAGCGGACGACCCTGGCATGATGGAGTCATTGCTGCACACTGACAGAGTGTCTGTGAAAGACAGAGTGAAGTTATGCTTTAAAGCTGATTTATGATGAAGATTTTCTAAAATTAAATAACTTTCTGTGTCATTCCTAGTGCATAAAAGTTCTTAAATACAGGATACGTGTATCATTTCCTCCCTCGCAGACGTACTCCGTCAAAACTGACCATTCACACCACATTCTGTACCTTTGTGGTTGAAGATGCCTTCCATCTCCATGGATGACCTGGAATGGGCGATGCAGAGCATGGCGCAGGGCACCAGGCCCTCCAGGGCAGGGGAGCGGTCTGTGGTCCTGACCAGGCACCAGTCTGGCTTTTCGTGGCAGCGCTCCAGAACCTCCACCGTCTGACCGCGCCGTACTGTCAGCTCGTTGCTGTTGCTGGCCATGAAGTCGTGTATCACCACAGTCAGCTCACAGCCACCGGAGAGCTGAGGGAGACAGGAGAATCACTATGAGCTGGTTTTGGGAAGCAAGCTGCACTTAGGTATTCTTCGAAATGCAGACAATGTGCAGTTAGGACATAATTTCTGGTCGTGTGTGTGTGTTTGGCTCACCTTGTCGCTGTCCAGTGTGTTCTGTGATGTGCGGGATGCCAGAGAGATGGTGTCTGGTTGGCTGCTGCCTTCACCCTGACTGTCCAGGTCCTCTCCATCCCTAATAGACACACACACAATCAATAAAAGGTGCAAGTGTTTCTGTTTTAGAGTGAATGTGACTGGTTTGATTAAAAATAAATAAATAAATCTCTTCCTGCTCCCTAGAAGATCTTCAGCTTTAGGTGTCACACGCTTACCTTCGCCCCTTGTGGTGCTTGGCTGTAGTTGCTTTGGGAATATGAATGGGCTGCTTGAGCGCTCCTCTCAGGTGAATGGTGCGCTCCTGAATCACCTCCCTGATGTGCTTGATCCAGTCCTGCTTGTTCTCAATGCTTGATGCCTGTTATTGGTCAACAATGGATCGAGTTCAAAAAGTCAAACATTAGAGTTGTCAAGGAATGGACTTTATTTGGAATTCTTGTTTCACTCCGTGTTTCACACAAGTCTGAACAGACCTCATCACTTCATATCAACTGAAAGAAATTTTCAGATACATTTTATTTTACATGAGCACTCTGGCTGTGGACCCCTAAAGCAGCAGTTCTCAACCTTTTTTTGTTAGCTGTACCCCCAACAACCCTCACAGATGTACTTAATTATTTTTTAATAAAATAATTTTACAGCTAACTATTTGAACTGTTTTCCGTAATTCTATTTTAAGAATGGAAAACCGATTACACACACACATATACATCATTTACGCTGTTTGCAGCTATGTCTACAGTTTATGTATTACTATAAGCTAATTATTTTATTAATTCATATGTTTTAGGTAACAAATGTTTAGACCTCTCTGCTCATTTGGGAACTAATTTTCACAGACACTAAATCACAGCAGTGTTCAGGTGCAAAGTCAATATGTGGATATTTCTGTTTTTTCTAATTATACTGAACAAAATTATAAACGCAACACTTTTGTTTTTGCCGCCATTCATCATGAGCTGAACTCAAAGATCTAAGACTTTCTCTATGTACACAAAAGGCCTATTTCTCTCAAATGCTGTTCACAAATCTGTCAATCTGTGTCAGTGAGCACTTCTCCTTAATCCATCCACCTCACAGGTGTGGCATATCAAGATGCTGTTCAGACAGCATGGGGATGGCACACATGATGAATGGAGGCAAAAACAAAAGTGTTGCGTTTATAATTTTGTTCAGTGTAGTTGAGTGACGAAACAATCTTTCCACATACCCCTTGGCAACTGCTGGAGTACCCCCTGGGGTCCCAAGTACAGCTGGTTGTGAATCATTGCCCTACAATATTTTACGCTACAATCATTTAGCCTCCAGCTATGGCACTGGGTTAAAGTGGCTTTCTTC